TCAGACTGAAGAAATCTCTTGGAGGAGAGACGAAACGTTTCATTAGAGAAGAACCCGTCCAGAAGACCTATACAATTTTTTTAATGTACCAGAGTTAGCAAAAAAGCTGTTTTTCATCTGGTTACAAGTCATCTCAAAAACAAAAGATACGTTTATAATTACAAATAAAATGTAGAAAAACTGTTCTAACCCTAAAAGTACATAAAAATCGACCAAGAAATTACTGAAAGTGTCAGTAAGCATAAAGCCTATACAGCGGTACACAATTATTTTGCACACAACTGCATGTGATGCGTTATGGCAGACGTATTTATTTTTAAAAAAAAATTTATTTCACTATATAATTAAATAACACTTTTTTGCTAGTTGTCTATTCTTTTAAAATGCTAAATGTGTAAAAGAAAAACAGTTTGATTTATTAGAAGTGCTCAGACTTMATTTGATAGGATTGCTCTGTATAGAGACAGAGAGCTGTCAGTGTTTGTTTCAATCTTCATTTCTTCCTCCTCTGCCCTCATTTAGTTGTCTCTGCCTGTGCACACAAGAGATATAGACTCTAGAAGTAGTCTATTGTCTTAACATTATTCCTATAAAATGTTGTATTATACTCTGTAAAATGGACCTGTTATCTTTTTTGAAAGATAACAGGTCTTTAAGACTTGCATGTGAAGCATTTGATATTCAAGAAGATGTTTTTGAACTTAAAGGGATGATAGAAGAAATCCATTGAAGTATTAACACTAATTATATTCATGTTTAAATGCTTTGCAGCACATTTGGATAAATATTTATTTTAAATGAATTAACAGCAGAATTTTTTCAGATCACTTGATAATTGTAAATGAATGAGTGAAATGAGTGGTTTTAAATACAGCTGTGATGTCGTCTCGTTTCAGGACGACCCTTTCTGGACGGTGAACAGTCTGTCATGGCAGGAGAAGAACCGGACTGCCAACCAGCGTGTGTGCAGCCTGGAGCAGCTTCTAAAGCTGGCCTCCTACCACAACTTCTCTGTGGTCTTCAGGCTGAGGAGACCTCCTCCGCTGCACCCCTGCCACCACAGCTGGATCAATGACACACTGCAGGCAGTGCAGCGGTCTGGAGTTCCTCAGAGCCTGGTAGGAAGGAGGGAAACACTCCGGGTCTGGTTCTCAAGCGGGCTTTTGTGCAAATCTAAAACTTTTATTGCAGCTTAATTTAAGATGCCTTTTAAATAGTTCAGTTTGTTGAGATGTGTGTATGTGTGTGTTAGCTCTAAATGTGTGTTCTCGTTCTATTTCCAGGTAATGTGGACTCCTGATGAGCAGAGAGCTCAGGTCAGACAGATCGCACCTGGTCTCACCCAGACCTCGCTGGTGAAACGGGATCCTGGGACTCTGCACAAGTCTGGCATCAGTAGACTAGTGCTCAGATACAACCAAATCAGCCCGAGTGAAATCCCGTAGGGTCACAAACCTGAGACTTCYTCAGCTTWWTAATCGATGGTCMAATTGTTTAATAATCAGGATTGTTGCTGTTTTCAGAAGCTACTCCAGAAACAACATCAGCCTTATGGTCTACACCGTCAACGAGCCGTGGCTGTACTCAGTCCTGTGGTGCAGCGGGGTGTCCGCAGTCTCCTCAGAGGCCTCGCATATCCTCAGAAAGGTGCTRTATCCTGTCTGGCTCATGGTAAGGACTTTTTTAAAAGGGTTAAACTTTGTGAAATGGACTATTTTAAAAATATCTAATCACAAAAATTATGTGCTCAACTCCTGTGCTAATAATAAATGTTTTGAGTCGAACTTTGGGAAGGTTTGGTTAAAACAAATTCTTTGAGTCGTTTGTTTCTTCAGTAAAATTCATCAAGAATAAAACAAATCTATCGTTTTATTCAAAGTACTTGTGTTGTTTTACTTGTAAGGCAGCTAAATCTCCTGGTTTAAATAACAGAAGGTCTTTAAAATCTTTCTAACTCACTGAATTTATGACCATTGTAACAGTTTGATTTTGTATAAATACCAGCTGTTTATGAGAATAAACTTGGGATTAACAGAAGAATTTTGGCTTTGCAGGCGTGGGAATTTGGATTTGCTTGCTTTGAATTTCTTTTTTTTTTCTTCAGTGTCAGTTCTATTTATTTATAAACCCCTTTACACAACAAAACCATATAAAACCAATAGCGGTAAAATATAAAAAAGATAATCTTTTTTAAATTGAATATTTTTAACAGGTATGTCTTTTTTTTAGAACCTCTATTTCCTATGAAATTGACAGTTTTCCCTGCCGACTGCTGTAGAGCTAAGAAATCCCTTCAAATTGAAAGAAAAATAGTTATTCATGTTCGTTACCAGAATGTGTGCTTAACCATACGAAGAATGTGCAAATGTATGGAAGGATTATTAAAGAGAAACCCAWACAAAACCAAGAGCGGCTCTTGCTGAAGTCTGGTCTTTAATGAATCACCAAGAGTTCAGACCGCAATGAGGAAGTCCATTCTGTTTTAACAGAAAGCTTCAGGGCTTGGCTCCGCCTAGTTGATTACATCATCAGTGGGGGGGGGGGGGTCCCCTGTTATTCTGTAGAAGCCGTGCTCCTTCGACATTAAAAACCTACCCTAATGAAGAATTAAAAGTTCAGTTATGTGTAGGATTTGTTTCCAGGCATGTATCTATTAATATATAATCATCAAGTTAAGCAATGCAGTCACATTTAACAATCATTACAGTTCTATCATAAAACTATAACATGTGCATTTAATTTAAATCAGTTAAATAAATCTAAACCCCAATAATTTCTTCAATATAATGTTTAACATCATTGTTAAGCCTGGGGATTCCCCTTTTTTTAAATAAGTCTGGAATTCCCAATGACTTCATATAAACAAATTGAGCTTTCAAAGTGGCTCTGGCATAAACAAAACTAACTTTTGTCAAGGCCAGCTGATAAGTCTCCAGATTTCTGCATCCAACATATTATTTTGAAGCTTTTTAGATAAAGAATTGGAAATAGTGGTGTCCTGAAAAATGCTGGTGTCTGTACAGATACAGCATTTTTATCAGAACTGATACAGATGTTAATATTTGTATCCGTACTCCACTGAATGTGTAACAGTTTATATTTCAAGTGAAAAGTTTGTCCGTTTTGTGTTTAAGAAAGTTATACAAGTTAAAAGAAAATCTTTTTATTTATTTATTTTAAAATGTTGCAACAGTAMATTTCATGCTTTGATTTGATCCAGTCAGAGGGACTGTAGGCCTAAAAGGAAAGAGTCCACCTTGTTCTAAACTGTCTAGAAAGACATGTTTATAAATAAATATAAGTTCTAACTGGAATCAGTGCTTATGTCCTGCACAGACAGACACACCCTGTTTATCTTTGACACCTTGTTAAAACCCCAGCACATCTTGTGGAGCAGGACTCACCTGACTTTATAAATGCAGGGAGCTGGATTGGTCTCCCATATGTTCCTCCATACTAGACCTTGGCTTGACAACTTGTAGACTTGACCCCTGAGTTCAGCRGGACATCTGTGATACGGTCTTAGTTTGATCTGAACCAAGATGTCACATCTGTKACTTTGGCCCTGCTCATCTTATTAGTCTCCGTTTGAAAGAAAAGATAGTRGTAGTAAAGAGGATTCTCTTTAAGGAAAAATAAATAAAAATGATGTAACATTTTAGGACTGGTTTGAAAGTTTGGCTCCATCTACAGGTGGATTTTTACAACCATCACATCTAACATGACTGTGTTCTTTCAGAGGCCAAATCAATACAGTCTGATCTGGGTGTTTGCAGACCTCCTCTCCTTCGCTGTAGTCATAGGAATATTCATATTACAGAAGTAAGTACATCACTTTTCTCATCTACATGCTGCAGAGTAAAATAAGAGTTTTGTTCTCACAGCTTTTCTTAAATATAATTCAGCTCGTCGTGTTGTCAGTAAACACCTCAGGCAGGATGAGCTCAGTAAAACAGTTTGGACACATTGTTGTAATTGAACGTATTGAATCACATGTTAGATTTATTTCTGCTGTTTTCTCGTTGTTAAATATGTCACACTCCTGTAGCGTTCCCGTTTCTCTCCTGAAAAACTGGTTTTGTTTATTTTGATGACAGCAGAGACGGACGGTCCTCCTGTCACCTCTGGGATGGACGGCTTCTTGTTTCTTTTAGTTTTCCTTGTAACTGTTGGGTACAAGTGTGTTTGTCTTTGCTCTCCAGCAGCTTCTGTTGGCTTCTGAACTGACCTCTCTTTTTTCTCCCTCCTTCTTTTCTCCCCTTTCTGTCCTRGTCCTCTGTCCTCTGCCTGACGTGCATGCTCTTGTCCTCTGCTGCATTCTGGCATCTTCTCTCAGCTATCACATGATCAGGTAACCGGGTCACCTCCTCTGACCCCCCAGCTCTTCTCTAATGTCACCKTCTTCCTGTTTCTCTCCACCTATCATTATTTTGTTTGAGGAATACTTGACCTTTTTGCATTTTTTGATTTTTCTGTTGTTTTTTTTTTTTGCTTTTCTACTCAGTTTCTCTCTCCCACATTATTTTCCACCATCATTTGTTCTCATCTCTCTGTTCTGCCTGTCCTGAATCACTCTACAGTTCTACAGCCTTTTGTCTCTTTAGGAGACAATTTATTGTATCCAAAACACAATATTAGTCCCCCGTGATATTACTCATTTATAATTTTTACTCATTAGGTCCAACAGCTAAATGATAAAACTAAGTTCTGGGTCATCTTTTTAATTTCTAATGGTGTCGCAGTGAATGGATGCTCTTGTTTTAATTCAATTTAAAAAGTCTGACTGGTGTGATTTGTGCTGCCAGTCTCTACATTATGGATGCTGATTAATTCAGAGTGCATCACATGTATAACATTATGCAGGACARTAATCAGCATAATCAAATAATAGTTGTGTAATCGGGGTCTTCGGGTTTTGAAAAATCCCTTTGAACTAAACGACCACGGTCTCTAAAAGGCTGCAGCACAAAAACAAAATGCATTTATTAATATTTATTAATGGGTTTATTGCTAAGAACAGCAGAGAGGACGAACCAAAACGCATCCTTAAAGACCATCCACTTTATCTCAGTACTTATACTGGTACTAATAAAGCGGCTGCAACTAAATCCTGGCTGAGATTTCAGACCTTTATCCCCAGGATTGTTTTCAATGTATCAAAGAGGAAATGGGTTGTTTGGTGTCAGCCTAAACTGAGCTCTTTAATTTATTCATACTGTTCACAAATATACACTTGGCACAAAAAGTTAGGAAATTTGTGTTTTAATGAAAAAGAAAAAATAAGTAGGTCCTCTGGATGGGTTCTTTAATGAAACGTTTCATCTCTCCTCCAAGAGACTTCTTCAGTCTGAGTTTCAGGTGAACTCAGCCTTAAAAGCACTGCCTCCACATGGTGGACAAACAGGTCAGTCACATGCAAGAGAGGGCCATTGACTAACAATAGGCTTGATTAGCTCTATTGTTCATAGAGGGTCATGTGCCCCATCACCTGACTTATTGGTTTGAATGCTGTGGTTCTTAGGTGTCGTGTTATTTGTATGTGGTGAATGCAGGCGGGGCTCAAAGTCCCCTTTTTGTTTTTGTTTTTTCCTGCTTTGTATTGGTTATCGTTGGGGCCCTGATTCACACCTTTTGCTTACAGGGGGCTGAGTCATACTATACATCATCCATAGTACGTACATAGTATGACTCAGCCCCCTGTAAGCAAAAGGTGTGAATCAGGGCCCCAACGATAACCAACACAAAGAGAGGAAAAAACAAAAACAAGGGGACTTTGAGCCCCACCTGCATTCACTACATACACATAACACAACACCTAAGAACCACAGCATCCAAACCAATAAGTCAGGTGATGGGGCACACCCTCTATGAACAGTAGAGCTAATCAAGCCTATTGTTAAGCGATGGCCCTCCCTTGCATGTGACTGACCTCTTTGTCCACCATGTGGAGGCAGTGCTTWTAAGGCTGAGTTCACCTGAAACTCATCAGACTGAAGAAATCTCTTGGASGAGAGARGAAACGTTTCACTGAGGAAGAARCCATCCAGAGGACCTACTTATTTTTTCTTTTTGATATTTTTCTACTTGGATGACAGAGATGCATCAGGACATTGTGTTTTAATGGTTTATTTCTTTGTTGTAACAAAGCTTCTTGGTAATCTTATACCCGGCACCTGACTGGCAGCACCTGGAGGTTCCAGAAACTCAAAACAAGCATCAATAACAACAGTAAAATAAACTGTTTTGAAGATATTGGCAATTTCTTTTTATGTGCGCAACGACATACTCAACTTCTCATCCCATAAATGCATATTCCTTACAAATGTGACACCATTTAAGAGGAAACTAACAGGCTTACCAATGGTATAAGATTTATTGTCAAGAAGCAAAGAAATGATCCACCAAACACTAATTTCCTTACTTTTTGTGCTGAGTTTACATAAATATACTCGCACCAGAAAGTTGTGCGTCGAGTTATTTTCTGTCCATTCAGAGTGGCTGCTAAGGATTCAGGGACAGACTCTAATCAGGAGTAGTTTAGGACTTTTACAAAGATTTTAATCCGATCATTGTTGTTTTATTAGCATTTTTTTCTAATTCATCCTGAATTAAACCAGTGGGGGYAAAAAATCCCTTCGCTTCCAGCAAAACACCATAGCTACACATGAAGGTTAGCTAAAACTGATTATCCTGATGCGGATCATGACCTGACGTGGATGCTGCAAGAAGCTGAGGCGGCATGTTCAGATGCTGTGCTGTGATTTGTGACGCTGCAGGTACCGGCTGAGCGGCATGCGCAGCTACAACCCAGAGCAGATCATGCTGAGCGCCACGGTCAGGACGTCCAGTCGAGACACCAACGTCATGAAGGAGAAACTCATCTTCTCTGGTAACTTCAAAGTCCGGAACGATGAGAAACAGACCGCTTTTATTTAAAGATCTGTGCTAGCATGTCTCTTCATCCCAGCATGCATCTGAGTGTACGTTCTTGCTCCTCTTCTTCATGTTGAAGGTCAGCCTCAGTAACGGCCTGCCTCCTCCACCATCCTTTTGTGTGCCGCGTTCCACCTCCTGACCATTCCACAGCCTCCATCTTCTTGGCGAGCAGTGACCTCTTCCTTTGTTCCTCGCACCTTCCTCCTCTCTGTCTGCTTTGCCCTCTTTTTCCACTAATCCATCCCTTCATCCTCATCTTCCTCCACAAACTTCCCCGTGGAGGGGAGCTTGTCCCAGTCTGTAGGCAGCCTCTAGTCCTGGAGAGCAAAAGTAAGTTTGCGTGCTGAGAAGTGCATTTTATGAAACTAGTGAGATTAGATGGCGCTGCTTAGTTTTTGGTACTTTTTTTTTTACTTTTCAAAATATTTAAATTTGTTTAGAAAAACAATTCTCAACAGTAATTAAATTAGATCTCTTCGATTATTTTAAAGGGATCCCTGATTAGTTTGTAACATTAGACTTTATCTAACAAACATTTTAACTGTGAAATAAAGACTGTAAAAA